TAGCATTGTTGATTAATTTCCTACTTGAAATTCTTGCCTTCGAAGGTCTGACCGAACTGCCAGTTTTTGGGAGTGATATACCAACAAGCAGAGGATCTACGATCACTAGCACGGACTACAGGAGAAGGTACATCCTCTGAGGCAGCAGCAGCAGTGCGTTGAGCAGGGAGTGATTTAAACGGAGGCCCAGAACGATGTGAGGTGCTGCGGGAAAAATGCCCGGGGGAAGGACCATTGCGAGAAGCACGAGCAGGGTTGCGGAAGCAATCTTGCTGGAGATGACCAGGACCAGTCTTGTTGCAAAATCGACAGAGGCGAACAGGACAATTAACCAGAAGATGAGTCGACGGAAGACTGCGATTTTGACAGTAGTTGCAGAAGGTTGACTTCTGTGGTGAAGGTGGGGAATGAGAACTCTTAGTCTGGGGAGTAGCAAGAACAGAGTCCACAGGGTGCGGATGGAGAGTACCAAACCGAGTTTCCTCTGACAAGAGTTCAGAAATTGCTTGCTCAAGAGTGGGTAAAGGAGTGCGATGGAGGAGAGAAGCTCGTACGGGCTCAAAACGGGAAGTAAGAGCCATGAGAAACTGAACCAAGCGATGTTGGTCACGGTAAGTGGTAAACAAGGCAGCATCCTTAGTACAAGCCCATGGAGGTTCAGAAAGAGCGAGTTGATCCCAAACATAATACATTTGGGACAAGAAGTCATTAATGGTCTGAGTTGGTTCTTGGCGCATACGGTGAAGGTGACTCAGAAGCTGATATTGGTGAGCAAGGCCAGTAGTCTGATAGCGTTCTTGTAAAAAATCCCAGATGTCCTTGGCGGGAGAGGAAGCAGAGTCAAGTTGGAACCGACCAAACTGAAGGCTGATAGATGTAATAGAAGTATTGCGAAACCAGGTAATGATCTGATAGTTTTTACTATCCCAATCCTCCAGACGATCGATATATTTGGCAGCGGAGTCCGTGGTGGCAGCAGATTCAGTGGTTGCTGGGATGGGTTTACACACATCCCCAGTGATGATGCGCCAAAGTTTCTTTCCTTTGAGAAACCCAGACATAGCTTGGGCCCATAAGACATAGTTAGTCCCGTCAAGAACAACGGAAATAGGATGATTTGAGGAGTCGAGGCGATCCATGAGGGCAAAATCGTACTTTCGAGGTAGAATTGAAAAAATCCGAGTGTACCAGTGAATTCAGAAGGTCGAAATCAGTAGGAACAGAGTGAATTGACCAAAAAATAGGACCAGAAAAGCACTAAATTGGCTTGTCAAAGTGAGTGGAGTAGTCTGGTCAACGAATCCGGTCAAACAGATGATGTCACGGTCGACAGGGCTGATGTCACAGGCGCGGCGCACGTTAGCAGAGAGGTGTGCGGCGCACGTTAGCAGAGGACAGCAGGCGGTGCACAAAAGCGCGGCGCACGTTAGCAGAGAGGTGCGCGGCTCACGTTAGCAGAGGACAGCAGGTGGCGCACAAAAGCGCTAGGGCTGACGTCGGCTGACGTCAGAAACACGCGGCTCATGTTAGCAGAGGAGGCCGCGGCGCACAGTAGCGCGGGACAGTGTTGAGGCGCGTAGAGCGCGTCGGAGAACGAGACTGCGCGTGGCCGGAAGTTCTGGCGGCGCGTGGAGGCGCGTGGAACGTCGGCTGGTGATGAATTTTATGGTGGTGGTTTCGTCGTGAGGAGACGAAGAGACTGGTGTGATCAATAAGGAAAACAGAGAAGGTCGAGATGTGCAACAGTCTGTGATGTAGACGAGAGGCACAGCAGTCTGCGAAGAAAAGAAAAATGTAGAGACTAGGCAAATCACCTGTGCTCTGATACCATGTGAGATATGTAAAATATCTGAATTGATATTGCAAAATGTTATATCAGTTGATTACAAGAGGAATGCTTACTTATAGAGAAAGCACCGAAAGAGAATGTCGACATAATAATGAAGCATAATAAAAAGTGGTGAGTGGTGTTTCTTCTTTACCACCGAAAGAAGAAATGATTCCTATCCCCTATGCTCTGTATCTGATCATATACTATTATATATTATTATTATACTATATCTGATCATATACTATGATATATTATTATTATACTATATACATATATATTACATGAGATTACATTATATATTAACAAAATTAATTATAATAAAAAGGTTACAGCCATACTATTTATTCGAATTCTGAATTTTTGACATTTTTACTATCACAAACAAAGATCACTGAGTTTATTGGGCCACCTACATGGATTTGTAATAATTTCCTTGGCATTATTTTTTTAATATGCTTTTTTTTTTTCATTTGTCATTTTCTATTTTCTATTTGAAGTTAAATCTAGCATTTATTGATTTTGATACATCCAAATGGGTTGCCATTATTAGACTTCAAGCTCTTTCATCTTTGAATAAAAAAATCCCATGAGAAAGCATATGATTCATACAAAGCTGGCAACAAGTATGTGTTGATATATATCTCAACCATTTCATTGACTAGTCGCGTTGATATATATATTTTTATGTATGTATCGTTTTCGAGGGGTTAGTCCAAGATTATTTGTATTTCAATTTAAATTTTTTATAATTAATATATTTGCAATTATATCAATTAAGAATACATTACGTACAACCCCCTTGAAATGGGGATGCTGTTATGACTCCGGTGGAGGCGCGTCTCGAATTTTTTTTAATAATTCAAATCAATCATATTATAAGATTTGTTGAGTAAATTATTTATATAAAAAATTAAATTGATTAAAAATTTATAACTCTATAATAAGATAACATTTGTTTTTTAAAAATTAAACAGTTAACATTGTTTTTATAAATTTTTAAAAACAATTAGAACCGATCATGGACTTATGAATGTCTGATTAATTTAAGTTTTTATATGAATGATACACTAAATTGATTAAAAATTTATAACTCTATAATAAGACAACATTTGTTTTTAAAAAATTAAACAGTTAACATTGTTTTTATAAATTTTTAAAAACAATTAGAACCGATCATGGACTTATGAATGTCTGATTAATTTAAATTTTTATATAAATGATATACTCGACAAATCATATAATATGAACAATTCAAATTATTGAAAAAGACTCAAAATGAACTTGTACAAAAACTCACAAATTTTGAGTCACATTATCTCTTACAACTTTTACATGTTTTTTCAAAAAATAAAAATGTCAAAAAGTTAACTTTTAAACATCTTTCCAAAACAACCTAATTAGACTGATGCATTTTTACACTTTTTTTCAAAAATTTTTTTTAAAAAAAGTTAAAAAATTGACTTTTAAATATCTTTCCAAAACAATCCTAATTAGACTGTGATGCTATTCCATATATATATATATATAATGTATGAATAAAGACTATATATATACATAATTATTTTTTTTTTATATAACTTTAAAATTTTGAAATTATTTTTTATTTTTTTAAAGTAGAGTTAGAATTTGTTGAGGTACACGCAAGCACATCAACCATCTAACCATAAAAAATAAAAAACAAAAAATAAAATATTTATTTTTTTGGGATTCTACTACCCTTGTTGACCGCAGTTGCTTAAACAAATTGGAATTTTTTTTTATTTTTTATCAAACAAAGAGCAAGGATAGGTATCATGAAAATGATTATGAAAAATTTATGACTTTTGAATTACATTTAAAATAAAATATCACACACTAATCAAAGTAATTTAAAAATTATAAATTTTTTATAATCATTTTCATAAAAAAAAAATTTCATAATCCTAATTTTTTTCTCAAACAAATTGGAATCTTACCAACTGGCCATGTGCAAATTGGTAGAGTGGTTGGTCATACGTGGTGTTGTTTAACTGGACGGACACAATACTTCATCTAAGAGTCAACAACAGCATCTGAGAGGTCATTGACTCCACTTCTAGTACTGGGCTCAGTGTAGAGTGCCTTTTTAAATTCTGACTCTTATCAATCAACTCGTAGGAGTAATTTAGTAATTAAGGGACCTGAGGTGAATAGTAAACTCTAATGTTATAAGCACAATTTGTTTTAATGACATGTTCGGACTTACTTCTTACGTGTGATTAGGCCTCATTTCTCAATTAAATATTTTAATTAAAAAATTAAAAAATCATTATAAATTGACATATTACTCTCTCGATTTTCTACATATCTTTCCATAAAAAATTAAAAAATATCTAAAAGCATACTCCCAAACAAAGTCTTAGTGTGTGATTTTATGTATTCATAATTTACTCTTCAAACAAGCGCCAAGTGACCCTGCTTAAAGATGTTAGCAAAAATTTTAAAAAGAGTGGGGTTACATATTAATTAGTGTATCAATATTAGTTATAACATTATTATTGACCTTACTCATTATACAAATTATAAATACTAAAAAATTTTAAATTATGTCACATTATCAATTGATACACTAACATTTATTAATCCAAAACTAAAAAAATGTTAAATGAATGAAGAACGAGAAAATTAATAATAAATGAATAGGGTGCAAGTGAGACTGAGTTACACGAGATGTATACTCTACTGATTTATAGCGCAATTTTCACTCACTTTGTTGATTTACAATTAATTTTCACATTTTTTGTTTATACGATCATAAAAACTTCAAGATTATTTTGATTATGAGAAACAAAGAAATGTTTTAAGACCACATGTACGGGAAAAGTATAGATACACAAGGCCCATGCCTTTATGACTGCAAAAAGGGACTCATAAATGAGAAAATTAAGAAGATAGTAATATGTATCTATTAGTATTAAGCGTAACGTTGGATTTTATAGACAGAAACTGTATTTATTCATATATGTAAAACACTTTCTCACTAGAATAGATGTTTATTACAACTGAGAAAGAACATTTTCGTTTTTGGGTTTGATTTGAATAGATGTGTACTATATTATAACAATTGATTCAAATGATTATACCCCAGAGAATAATGAAGTAAGGAAAATTAATTAAAGAAAGATCAAAAGAAAGAAACAGAGAAGTGTACCTGAAATCCCAATATCATAGCCAAAAATGAGGCCACCAGAAGCTGCAACGATGCATGTGATCACGACCGATGCCGTTATTCTGCCGCTGAAGCTGCCGGCATGGCCGTCGACAGCGAAACCCCCTCCGGCCATTTTTCCTGCCCACTTCTTCCTCTTTCTGTCTCACTTTCTCGCAAACCAAACACAATTGAAAACAGTCGGAACAGCAAAAGTCCTCAGAGGCTTCTCATAGGAAAAAAAACAATAGTCGTCACATATGTGGGGGCTAGTTATATCACTAATGGACTGACATGTAGCTAAATTGTTAATCATGCACCTTTGAAAAAAGCTTGGCTTATGGGTTATTAATTAATATTATAATGAGAAAAACAATATTTAAAAATTTATTTGTGTCATCTTATTTTTGTATTTACATAATAATACCATACACAATTATCATGTGCAATTGGCCCAAAAACAGTGAACACTCGAAATAGATGTGCTTAAAAACAACTTGGGACAATTAGGAAAAAAAAATCTTTTTAGAGTTTGAGTTTTCTAATAAAATAAATTTTGAATTTTTTTAATTTAAATTCTAATTTTTTGATTTGCTTTCAATTTAAATTATTTGTCTATTTTTGTTTAGTAAAACTAATGGAAAAAAAACATTTTGGTTATTAAATTCAATTTAGATATACATAAAATGTCAAAAATACTATTTTTGTTGAGATTAATGACTAAAATACTTATTTTTCTCAATTTTATTTAACAAAAATAGAAAAATGATTTAGATTAAAAATAAATCAAAAGTTTAGAGCTTAAATTGACAAAATTAAAAATTCAGAATTTATTTTGTTAGAAGAGTCAAATTTTAGAATTTTTTTTTTGTAATTTCCCCCCCAAAATTTATATATATAGTTTGTCATAAAACTAAAAAAAGTCATATTTAAAAAAAAAAAATTATGTCAAAAGGTTCATCTTGTAGACAAATTTAATAATAATAATAAAATGTAAATAAAAAAAACTTTACTAAAGTTAGAAAAAATAAAAAAATAAATTAACTTTTTTTTTTTTTTTTTTTGTCCTTTCTCAACTTTTTCTAAAATTTTAATGTTATTTGTTTTTCTAACTTTTCTGGTTAGCCTAGTGGAGTAGAATAAAAGTGTAGGGTTTTTTTTTAATTTTTTTTTTAAATTCACAAAAAAAAAAATTAACAAAAAAAATTGCTAAAAAGGACAACCACATAATTGTTTTAAATAGAGGGAGGAGATACTTTCGCACACGAGGCTTAACAACCACAATCACAAAAACACTCCGAAAAATATTTAAAACAAGAATTATCCTATGCAAACGAAGAAGTGCATAGAAAAAATTGACAAACCTGGTGATGGGAAAAACATTAAGGTCCAACTTGTCTTATGTTTAAGTTCAAGACTGGACCATTTAGTTCAGCTTATGGGTTCATTTTTTGACCTTATTATCGTTCAATATGTAAAACTCGTCGAGTATTATATTTCTGTAAAAAAATCACTTTAATTGAATATCATAGCTATTTGATTAGATCAGATTTCTGTTTATTGTCTATTTTTTTACTGTCTATTTATTTTATACAAATTTGATCCGATCAAATAACTATCGATATCCGATCAACATGATTTTTTACAAGAATATAGTACTCGATGAGTTCTACACATTGAACGGTTCAAATTATCGAAATGGGACCTGTACGGGGAGCAAATATTCCGGCAAACCCGTACTCCTTTCTTCCAAGCTCTTGCCTGTCCGATCGACCTGCGAGCACAACGACGGTGAGCTACCTGGCGATGTGTGGCCAGAATACCCCTCCGACGATCAAGTTAGACACACACAGGGATAGAGAGAGAGAGAGAGAGAGGATTGAGTGTTTAGTGTAAATCTCACCAAATGTTCATCTGTCTCCGCATGGGGGGCGTAGACTGGCTTATATACCTTCTGCGCCCCAAATTTACTCTCATTAGTCTCTCAACACGTGGTGCTGCTATCCCATCTGTCAGCGCAAATCTAGTTGAACATCACCTAACCAAACTGTCAGCCCACACTACTGGGAGCTCGGCAGCCGGGCTGCAGCATCTCAGCTGCCAAAGGCCGTGCTGTATTGCTACCCAGAGCGCTCCGCTCGCCTAGCTCAATGACGACCAAGCTCGGTTGTATTCCGACATAGTCGAGCTCGGGACAGCTCATGCTAGTTAGCTGTCGGCCTTCCTGCTGGGCTAACCCACGAACCGTAGAACCCAGTGAGGAAGCGGACATCTCGGTCGAACCATCACTCGACCGGTTTCTGCACCCTGAAGCCAAATAGCTCGGTCCAATCATGCCTTGCCTCAGCCAAGCAAAACCTTTCTGGATAGGCCCATGCTACCACGGCCCAGCTGTGTTCGGCCCAAATTTGCCCGGCCATTACCACGGCCCAATCCAGATTATAAATCTCCTTCTCAGGACCAAAAAATGAACTCATGTGTCGGACTGGACGGTCCAATCTTGATCTCAAATATGAGACAAGCTCAACCCAAAGATTAAAATGGAAACCTTGTAGGGAATGAAACTGTGGATAAGGATCGAAATTGGTAATTAGGGAGCTGTATTTTGTGACTGATAAGATGATGGTTAGGGTAGAGTTTTCAATGTTTTTAGATTTATTTTTTCAATTTTTTTGAAATTAGAAATGACTTACTGTTAAAGTTTTAAAATTAGAAATGACTTCAAAAGTTTTAGACCACTTCTCACCAAAATCGGGTGATTATTAGGTATTTCTGAATCACGGCTACGTGATGGTTCATGGTATTATAATTTGTGAAAAGTGTGAGGTATTATAATTTAATTTGGGGTGATTAAGGAACATGATGAGACATGATAAATGATAATTAATGAAAGAATATGAATACATAATATTCTAAAAATGACTAATAATTTTCTTACAAAATCTCGTTGGCAATGAATAAATAGCTTTGTGTGAATCAATAACGTATATAAAATTAGGGGAATTCTATTATATACACTTTTTACTATATGCACCTTTAAGTTATGTTATTTTTTTTTATTAGTTATAACCATTTTTTTTTTTAATTATGACCATATTTTAGTTACGACTCATAGGATCTTTGGTTATGTGTGTTGTTTGGTTATGACCTTTATTTATTTATTTATGACTCAAAGAGTATAAAATTATATCATTTTTTTCTTTATTATAAGGTCCGTACTTTCCCATATAATTGTGGTCGCTTATTTTTAATAATGTAATAAAATTAATTTTTTTTATTTTAGGAGTAGAAGATTCTTTAGCATCTCTACTATACTATGTTTCAATAGATTGGGGACTGTTTATTTTTTATTAGGTGGGAGATGATGAAAACTCATGCAATAAAATGGGAAGACTAAATAAGTCTATTTTTTAATTTTTTTTGTATTATGTGTAGAAAAAGTAGAGAGGAGATGTTGATTGATATGACCCAAAAAAGATAAAAAGATGAAATAAGTGCACTTTTTTAGGTTAGCTAAACTTGACTTCAATTTTGTCTGTAGAGCAATTATTTAGTGCTTTTTTTTTGTGACATTAACATACTCATGCAATAAAATAATTTTTTATCATTATTTATGTAGAGTTCAAATAAAGGCTATACAAACCAAACACAAAATTGGATATTAAAAAAATGTATATGAATGTGCAAGATTTGTTGACGAAGTTCATTTTGTAAAAAAAAAACTATCCTTCAATTTTTTTTTTTTTTTTTTTTTTTTTGTGTTCAATTCTATATTCATAGACTTACTACAATGATTAAGCATTAAGAAATCCACAAAACAAATGGTCAAAAAATTGGACTAGCAGTTGGGTCATCAAGAAATTAATAATGCACCTTCCAGTCTCACTCAGCTTTGTCTACTTTAATCACTATTTACATTGCCAAAAAGATATAAAAAAAGAAAAAGAGGACTTAAAGAAAGTTTTGTCATCTAGCGAAAATTTGAGATGGGGGTAGATAAGCATGAGTTTGGTTTGCTTTTACCTAAAACCTGTTTGGTGTTCCAACCCCAATTTGGCTTCTTAATTTTTTGGGTAATTAAAGTAGGTATATAGATGATTTGTACCTTTTCAGCATTAAGTTTGTTTTTCTTTCCTTTTTCTTTTTTCCCCAAATAATAAGTCAGTAGCAAGGAATACAAGCATCTGATCATTTTTTTTAATATTTAAGTTAGCTTCTAAATATTTATTTTAGACTGGCAGTTGAAAATTTAAAATTATTCTTAAACAGGACCCTTTGGACCCACTTTAATATTGCAAACTCATTATATATGTTACTACTTGTTAGCCTCACATATCGTGTGAAGTAGGGATATCAGTACTAGATCCTAATATCTCTTAAATAAAATATGAACGACTTATTATTTCAGCTAATTCTTACTATACGAAGCATTTATTATTTCAGCTAATTCTTACTATACGAAGCATTTATTGATGGTGTTGATTTAGGCAAAACACATCTGAAAGTTTTTTAAAAAAAAATAGTAAAATTTCATGTTATAACGCCAATGGGCTTTTAAAAATTCTCTCTCCCAAAATACAATGTCTAATAACCCAAAATTTTTATAAGGTCGCACTGCTTTGTGGTCTTGTATTTAAAACACAGCCCAAAAATAACAAGAACCTAGAAGGAGACAAGATGAAAGATCTCATTGTAAGAAGACAAAAGAGAATTTATATTGTTACAATTCGTGAGCATTCACCTAAAACCTATTTCTAGGGTGCCCATGGTTAAGTAACTTTTCAGAAAGGTCATAATCTTTTAGATTGTTGCTTGTCACAAACAATTACTTGAGTGGCTGCTGTGTACCCTTAAAAAGCATAGGTAAGATGAACCACAACCTTTCATAATAATACAATAAGTCATAATTTTTCTATAAATTTATTCATAAATGATTTGTAACATTTACTATAGCGATCCCGGATTTACCCTTGTTGTACAGTGATCCGGACATGTGTCCGTGGATGTTGGTTGTTGTTTATTATCTTGTTTGCATCCTTTTTACTTTTTATTTTGAGTTATAGGATGTGTTGGGCAGATTTGTTACAGGTTGGTTGAGTTTAGAAACCAAAACTAGTTGCCCAGATTTTGGCCTGTCCGCTCGAGCGGGGGTTTGGGCGCTCGAGCGGGGAATACACCCATGGGATTAGCCGCTCGAGCGGGGTTGTGTGAGTTCCGCTCGAGCGGGTATTATATATTTTAAATATTCTTAATTTTTACAGCAAAAAAACATAA